AAACTGACTCTAAAATAGAAGAAATTCAGAATGGTTTTAAGATCTGAATAGAAACATTAGAAAAAGATCATAAAGTTGCTAGGTTAATGAGAGAGACAAATATTATATATAATATAAAAAAAAGTAATTTAATTCAAATTGCAACTAATTATAAAAAAGAATTAGAACTATTAGATGCAGAAGAAGAATATGTTATTGGTATGATAAGGAATGATATTGAGCCTAAAATAAATTCGGATTTGGAAAAGGAAATAAATTTTGAATCCAAAAATTAAAATTAGAGAAACAAATTAATGAGCTAGAAACAAATGATGATTTCAAAATGTTGCAAAAAATATTAGATGAATTAATTAAAGAAAATGGAGATTTAAAAAAATTAAATTTTAACAATTCTAAACAAATAATTGAGCTAAACAAACAAATGGGGTTTTCAAATTCTAAAAGGTTGAAGGATAAAAAGAATAAAGAATTTCAAGAAGTGAAAGAGAGACCGAGAAGTAGCCAAAAAAGTATTCAAGATCTTAAATTAATTCAGCAACAACTTCAAAAGCATCGCTAATAGAATAAAAAAGAAACTATTTGAACCAATTTAATAATATGGGGTGTCAATAGAAATCAAGCAAATTTTTATATAAAAATTTTTTAAACCTTTGAACACAAATAGCTTAGCAAACTTTTAAATCAATTATTAATTTTGATCAAGTTTTTGTTAAGTTATTTTGGTATTAACTCACCCCATATGATTCTGTAAACCTGAAAAAAACTACATAATTCAAAAATTGTAATGTACTATATATTTATTTTCATTAGTTTTTCCTGTGATTCAATTTTTTTAATATTGTGATTTTCTTATTGAAATAAAAAAATCAAATTAGTAAGATTTAATAAGTATAATTTTAATATATGCTCAAGGTAGCAAAAATATGTTATTGGAAGAAAATATGTTAAAGAACATGAGTATCCTATATTTTCAAAATTCATCGAGAAAATATTTTATCTAAAAAATAAAATAAGGTGAGCTTTATTCATTTAATAAAACTACATTCAGATATGAACAATATCAATATTAAATCGTTTCAATCACACTATAGTTGATTGATTTCAATCCATACCTTTATACAATACAATTTTAACAACACCGTGCTATTTAATTTGCACAATATATCAATTCTAGTTATTTGAATTAAAAAAAAGCAATTGTAAAAAAATTGGCATTTGATTATAAAAAGTACGCAGTTTTATGTAAACTTAGGTACAATTATGACATCAAATTTTGAAAATGAATCAGTCACAATACAAGTAGAAAAAAAGTTAGTGCATGAAACAAGACCAACTTATAGTCAATTATATTGATTTGCCACAAAAACTTGATTTGCTGATAATGTTTGTTGGCCTAGTGTTTTCTAGTATTGCTGGTGTTGCAATGGTATTTACCATACCATAAAATAATCAAATTTGAAAACTATAAAAATTGGTTTTAATATACGTATTTTCTTTGAATTGGATAGCCCTTAATGGCAGTTATTTATGAAAAAATGGTAGATTGCCTTACTCTTATTCAAAACTATAACATTTTCGAAGATGAATTTTCTTACCAAATTAGCAAGTACTCCTTGTATTTAATATATATTGCAATCAATACATTTGTTGCTATCTATATTTATATAGCAATTTGGGTATACACTGGTGAAAGGTATAATAGTATAAGAGATACAAGTATTTATATATTAAACTATTTGTCAGCTCTTTTTATTTACTTACTTCTTTAAAGAATTACACGAAAAATTCGTGAAAGTTATCTTCACTCCATCCTTTGACAAAACATTGCTTATTTTGATAACATTAGTGCAGGTGAAATTACTACTCACATTGTAAATGATACTTATTTAATTCAAGATAGCATCAGTGAAAAGGCTTCTCTTTCATTTCAAGTAAATAAGTTTGAAATATTTTAATTGTTGATATTCAAAATTTAAAAATTTAATTAACATTAAATGTTATCGTTATTGGTTTGCATACGTAGTATGCAGGTACGTAATTTTTGTTTATGATAAAACTTACTACGTAGAACTTTCTAACATCGCCTTTTTGTTTATTCATAAATTCATGTGATGATTGGTGAGTAAACATTTACGATTTAAATATAATACCATGGTTTCCCACCTCTGTCAATGATCAAATCCACAAATGTATCTTCCCGCTGATAAAATCGAAGGAAAGATCAAACATTTGTTCACACCTAACAGCAAATGATTCTACCTTGTTGAAGACATTTCAAGATTGTTTGGAGACCATGAGTAACCCAAACAAAAGAAAAAGTCTGTTACTTACAAGTCAGCTTGGACAAGCAAAAAGAGAACCTTAAACGACAACACGAATATCTCAAACAATGATACCTGGATCACGAATTTGTATCAGACGTTGGATCAGGACTCAATTTCAAGAGAAAAGGTTTTTTTATCTCTTCTAGACCGATGCATTGAAGAAGTTATCAAGGAATTTGTAGTTACCAGAAAGGATCAATTATGTAGGTTTGCCAATGAGCTCGTTGAATAGATTTTTCATAAATATCAGGTCAGATTCATAGTTCTCAGTTCGGATGTGGAATCACAAGATACCGACTGTGGAGAACTTGCCAAAGATTTGTTATCAATCATTACTGTGTTTACAGCCAGACATAACGGTCTGCAAGCCGCATCTTACAAGAGACAACGAGAAAAAAAAGCAAGCAACAAAGACAGGAAAACAACAAAAAAACAAAAGTTTAAAGATTCTCAAAATTTGTTTGTATCCTAACAAAGAACAAGATGGACCTACAATTAGGGTTTAATGATTTACAAGTCAGGAGTAAAGGATCTGAAGTTGGTGCGCAAGCTCGTGATAAACAAGGAAAATTTTGAAAATGATGAAAATGACAAGTGTTGGGTGTTGAAGACTCCATCATCGATCCATGATAATGCTTTTCTAGAATTCAAAAAGAATCTCAAAACTGAATTAGAAAAGAAACAAAAATTTGTAATGAGATTCAAATCAAAGAAACATTGTAAGCAAGATCAGATCTTATTAGTTGATGTAACTCTGATCAGAATCACGTGAGTATTTAAATTAATACCACTAAGTAGATTTATTTATAAGATATTGATGTAATTAGAACAGATATAACATCCTAGGGTCTAGGTTATATTGGAGTGATTCAATATTGACATTGTTTGTATCTGATGTTAGTTTAATAAATAAATAAAGCTCACCTATTTTTTTGTTTTTTAGTTAAATAGTTTCTTTTCAAGGGGCTTAATTTTAGTCAGGCTTATAATCCAGATTTTGAGATATCAATATACTAGTGTTTTAATACACATGATCTGTAATTCTGAACATATATAACGCGTGATTGCTTATAACAAGAAATCCTGCTTTTTATATATTTTGCAGATTTGATAGTTAAAATAATAAATATAATTTTCAAGTTAATAAGTATAAAAAAAACATAATTTTCAAGTTAATAAATATGGTATGTTTTTTCTCGATACCGACCTTTAACTAATTTGATTGATTGAAATATTGATTTAATATATATTTTTCACTAATAAAAATGGAGGTTCAAACTATAAACTAGTTTATTTTAAAACTAGGATTTGTTCATGGACAAACCGGAGTAAGCGAATATTTGAAAGAACTAGTGACAAGGTCTGCTAACATTAAGTTCACGTTACAGGCTGCTGAATAGAATTTATTATTTACACAAAATTGGTTGCATAAACTGCAAAGCTATTAGCATTTCTATCATAATCCAGGTTAACTAGTTAATATAAAAAATTTTGACTATTCACAATTCAGAGATTTCAAATTCATCGGACAAAGGGGAACAACTGTACGTCATAAAATCCTTAAACAATAATCTGGGTATTGAAAATAAAAACTGGATAATTTTTTACGCGAAGACAAAAGTTTTATTTAACTAACTTTATGTTTTTTTTATGTTTTTTTAGAAACTGAGGTCCAATGGCCAATTCTACGAAATTACTACCATAAACAATGAAGCCGAATTACTAAACCAAACAATTATTAATAACTGCCATGATGCTATTTTAGAAACTAATTTAGTAAACCTCCCTCCTAATCACCCTCTTAAATCATGGCATGCAATAAATATCTAATTCCTCTGCATACTTATTTACGAGCTAAGGAAGACTTTGATGTGCTTTTTAATTTTAATTTTAAGTTTGACCCTCCTAAAGGAATTGAAAATTGGATAAACAACATTTGGGATAATGAAATTGAAGAAATGACACGACCAAATTTAAGGGGAGTCGATGAACGCTTTTTTAAAAATAGTGTCGAGGAACTGAGTATATAAAAATGTCTTGTGCCTTTGTGTTATTAGCGTGTTAGCAGTCTTCTATAAATGGTCCATTCGGACAATTATTGATTAGTAAAATGATACATTACCTAACGAATGTCTTATTGAAATATTTGAATGCCTCCTAGAAGTCTATATTCGTGCCTTTTGTGAATCGTCAGTGGTGTAGAATTACTGTGCCAATATTATGGAGTTAAATTATTATTTTATTTATTCCAGATTTAATCGAGATAGTTAAAGTAATAATTCTACCTGATTATTCGAATTTAAATCTTGTGCTTTATTTTTTTGAATGATCTCGCTCTTTTCAAGAGGTTGTGACACAGAATAATCATTTTGAATTGAATTATCATCGATTCGTGATATTTTGCTCCCTGACCTTCTACCATAGCATTTTCTACGTCAAAACTCGATTCCATATCTTGTGCATTACTTCCTTGAATGTCCAATGTTTACAAAACCTATTTCTAATGATATATCACTAGGCTGTCAATCAAGATTAGTATCTTCAGCTTGAATAGCCTATAAATTTTCATTATTTAGTA